CTGCAGAGATAAGTAATATAGAATTCACCCCAGAAAAATTACAAATGGCCATTTCTTCTCTAAAGGCGGAGTCTAGTCCTGGTCCTGATGAAATTCCATCCCTATTTCTGAAAAACAGCTCCAAATCACTCTCCAGTCCTATAGCCACTATTCTTAACTCCATAATGAAAGGAGCTCCCATTCCAGGAATATGGAAATCGTCAATAGTTGTACCAATATTTAAGAAGGGGGACAAACTGGAACCATCAAACTACAGACCAATAAGTCTGACCAGCGTACTCTGCAAATGCATGGAGGTAATCCTAGTCAATCATAGTCAACATCTTTTTTACTAGAACAGCAAGTAACACCAGATTCTCAGCATGGGTTAATACCAGGAAGATCAACATTCACTAACCTGCTGGAAAGATTCAACAAATGGACTCAAATGGATGACAGTAATATACCATTTGACATTGTGTACATTTTGAAAAAGCTTTTGATAAGGTAACTTTCAGGAGACTCCTGCTAAATTCGGAGCATAATGGAATACGGGGCGATGTGCATAGTTATCAGCGAACTTTTCCAAGGAATGACCTTTCAAGTAAAAATAGGCACTTTCCAGTCGCGAGGTGCATAGCGGAGTACCACAGGGCTCGGTAATTGCAACTTTGCTGTTTATATTATATACATACGCGACCTTCCTGCAGGTCTCGCGTGTGACACCTCATCCTTTGCAGACGACACAAATTCTACGTGCAGAGCAAGTGACATATAATATATATAATAATAATAACAGTAAAAATTGGATTAGAATAGAAACGGAAAGACACGATAACATACAAGTACAAACGGATCATCACATCACACAAGAAGAACTTTCAGAGACCATCAAACATACACAAAACTGGAAATGCCCAGGAGCGGATAAGATACAGAATTTCTCGTACAACAGTTCTCATCCACTTATGAAATACTTACAAGGGAAATAAACAATTGCATCCGTGACCCATACATATTTCCTAAATTTCTGACACAAGGTAATACATATGTTAAACCAAAAAACGCAGACACAAAGAATCCAGCTAACTATAGACCAATAACATGCCTACCCACATTATATAAAATAATAACAGCCACAATATGCAAAAAAATAGACACTCACCTAACAAAACATAATATACTCTCAGAAGAACAAAAAGGTTGCAGAAAATCTAGTCAAGCCTGTAAAGAACAATTAATTATAGACACAATCATCCTAAAGCAGACTGAAAAAGATCGCAGGAATCTCCACACCTCATATATAGATTATAAAAAGGCTTTCGACTCTGTACCTCATAGTTGGCTTTTAAAAATTCTAGAAATTTATAAAATCGATCCAAATATTAGACACTTCTTGAAAGAAATAATGAAATCTTGGAGAACAAAAATTACCATAAGACCAGAATCAGAATAGGTACATCCAAACCGATGAACTATATATACGCGCGGCATTTTCCAGGGTGACGGGTTAAGTGCCTTATGGTTCTGCATGTGCCTAAATCCACTCTCAAACGTACTGAATGATTCTAAATATGGGTTCAATATAAAACATCAAAAAAAAGTACAACATAAAATAAATCACCTTTTGTATATGGACGATATTAAAATCTACGCATCAACAAGAACAGAACTTAAAGAGCTACTTCAAATTACAGAAAACTTTACAAAAGACATACGAATGGAATTCGGTATAAGTAAATGTAAAGCACTACACATCAAAAAGGGCGAATGGAATGCCAGTGAAAACAGAGAAATCATAAATAATGAAACACTGGAAAACATGGAAAAAAACGAAACATACAAATACCTTGGGTTTGAACAAAACATCAGAATAAACCACACAGATGTAAAAGACATCACTGTACTCTCGCAACCTTTTTAAAGCTATCAACACATTCGCAGTACCAATACTTACCTACTCCTTTGGTATAATTAAATGGTGCCAGACAGACCTAGAAAATCTTCACATCCTAACTAGATCAGAGCTAACTAAATATAGAAAACACCATCCTAATTGCTGTAAAGAAAGAGTTACCGTTAAACAGAAACGAAGGAGGAAGGGGTATGATAGACATTCAAGTATTACACACAAAACAAATACAGCTACTCCGAAAATACTTTCTTGATAAACAAACATCTCTCCACCAAGCGGTGTGCAAGGCAGACAAGAACTATACGCCACTCGATCTATCCACAACCAGCCATTCGGCAGATACCTTTATCCCAATTCAATATATAGAACAAAAAATCAATACATGGACATCAAAACAGCTACATGGAAAGCATAGGTACATCATAGAGCAGAAACATATATCAAAGCCACTCTCATATAAATGGCTCCAAGATGGAAAGCTTTTTCCTGAAACAGGGATTTCTCCTTGCAATTCAAGATCAAGTAATAGCCACACTTAACTACCAAAAGTATATAATAAAAGACTCTAACATACATACCGATACGTGCAGAAAATGTCATCAATTTAAAGAAACCATAGACCACATTACCAGTGGGTGCAAAATCTTAGCAGGTACAGACTACACCGAGAGACATAACATGGCAGGAAGAATTATTCACCAGGCACTCGCAAAAACTTACAAACTAATTACAGAAGAAACACCATACTATAAATATGCCCCAAACACGATAATAGATACCAACGATTATAAACTATACTGGGATGTAGAAATACGCACGGATAAAACAATAACATGCAATAGACCACACATAGTTTTCCAAAATAAAAAAGAACAGATCACCTATCTCATAGACATAGCCATACCCAATGATTCCAACATTCAAAACAAATATAACGAAAAAATATCAAAGTACACAGAATTGGGCATAGAAGTTCAGAGGCTCTGGAAACAAAAAAAAGTAACTGTCATACCATTCGTTATATCCACCACAGGCATTACACCTGACATGTTCGATTCGCACCTTAAGCAGCTCGGGCTCAACTCACACATTCACACAAATATTCAAAAGTCTGTCATCCTAAAAACTTGTAATATAGTCAGATCATTTCTTAATTCCAGCGGTAGACTCTGAAATAGCTTGGCACAGCCCGCTATCTCGGAGAAGTAACACCACTTTTCGAAAAAGTGAGAAAATTTTTCAAAACAATAATAATAATAATAATTAGTACATTTGGGTTTTAGACCATTCTAAACAAGAATTTGCTATCAGACGGTAAAAAAATAAAAATTTTAGAAGAGTGGTCAGTCCAGGGACACACTGTATATAATCCGAAATGTCGCCGAAAACTAGGTAGTTTCTTTTGTTTACACCACTTGCCAGAATTCTCCAATCGACCTCTCCATCTGGCCGAAGCAACCCTACCCGAAACGCAGTGTGGCCTAAAGCACAGCAGTCATGATTTCGAGTGCACTGCAATACAATCGCAAGAAAAATCAAAAGAGCCAAACGCTCTAAGAGCCAAACAAACCTTTTACCTCGGTAGGCATTTCTCGAGAAATGCCAATATTTGACGCGGAAATTCAACACCGACTAAAGCGGACGTCCCCCGTGTTTGACAATACCATCGCTATACCAATACTTCCCCCGATATGTAAAGCCTGAAACACCTACAGGCGACACCCCTTAGGTGCTTGGAAAAGTATCACCAGCAATGCTCAAGAAAAATATTTAAAATGAACGCAAAGGATTGTTGGACGAAAAGCAGTATCTTTGAAGAAACCAATTCCACCAGCATTGAGACAATGCTCATCCAAGATTATCTTTGTTGGGCTGGTCATGTCGCCCGCCTGTCAAATTCACGTCTCACTAAAGCTACGGTTTCCTAAGATAGCGGTACCGTAATAGAACGACCGTTATAAAATGGTGTCCTACGTTTTGCATGCGTGCGGTTTTTTAGGAAACGGTAGGCAATACCAAAGAATGCAATACCAATACCGCCACCGTCATAAAAAAAGGGCACCTTCATCTTCGTGACGCTCGTCATAGCGGTGGGACGCAGTGCGCGCAACGTTTTTTTCCTTTGTGCTGGTGAATTTGTTGTTTGCTGTATATTCATCTGTGCTCAACGCTATAAGAGCCAGGTATTCGTTGACCGGCTTTTTTTATGGTACCTAATAATTGACTGATGAAATTAGTTTGGGCATATTGATTGAATTTGTTTTCATATCGAGACTGATAAAATATCCTTTATTCTATGGGTAGGTTGAATATAATGTGATAATGTCAACCCAGTTAGGGTTTGGTACTAAGGCTGCGCTTTGATAAATTTTTTTAAATTAATTATTCGCCAATTCTGCAAGTAGATACACTGGCTCTGATCCAACATTCTGAACACATTTCCGTCGCTTTCGTACACATATAAATTCTGCCTTGCTTTTTTCTGAAAGTAGGAATTCTTCAGCTCTTTTCGCAGCTACTTTTAACTCACGAAGCATACAGAACTGCTCATCGCTACATTCGCTACTCATTTTTTTCAATTTTCAAAATCGAAGATCACAAAATGCTCCGAGTTGAGGTTAATCGTAATCTTTTGTTGAAGAAAATTGTCCATATACATATAGATTGTTCATCCCACAGTTACCCCCATAAGCTATAAGCTACCATTATAACTAAGCAGAGATCTTTCAAAAAAGCACTAGATTCGAACAATGGTGAATGAATAAGTAAATAAATGGTTATGTGACCTAATACCCAAACGTACACCTTAATTCACTTGACCATATAACTACTCTTTCATCCTTGATTAAATTTTGGGCTTTTCAGAAGCAGTCCTAATATTCAACTCATTCGGTACCTACCTAATTAAAATCACAACGAATTATTAAAAAACAATAATATTAATATAAAAATAATAAGAAATAAGTAGAGTAGCTGTAATTATAGAAGTTGGATATATCAACCTCAGTGGATTTTTTCACTATCTCGCAGCTTTCTTGACAGTAATGAAACTTTCCAGTTTTTAAGTGGCATTTAGTTTACCACTGATTTTTTTTTTCATTTTTAGAATATGTGGGAAACCCAAACGAGCGTCCACTGGTTGACCTTCTATTAAGCGATGCCTACGAAAAAGAATATGAGGATGAATTATATGAAGAATTTACTTTGTTTGCTGGAGCTGTACGTACTATTTGAGTGACATTATTATTATTTATTATTGTGATCCTAGCACTAACCACGCGAGTGATAACTATACTTAATTCTTAATGACAAATTGATACCCGTGAAGAATCATAAGTTGATTTCCCTGCTCCTCGCAATAAATCGGAAACTCTACCTGTAAAAGTACTCTTGTCCGATCTAATTCTACTTGGATTTTCAAAGGTTTTTTGTCGATTTGAAACCCCTTTTGTTAATGAATGAACAAAAAGCCCATAGTATGCTTATTTTTCTCAGCGAATAATTATTAGAGGTGGGTTGATAGTTTAATAAGTACAGAATGGCAAGGGCGTCACTGAATTTTAAACCTTTTCAATAACATCGAAAACGTCCAACAGCTGGACGAAGCGGTGGGCTCACTGACTAGCGAGATCCACTTGGCTCTCGCTATGTCCACGGTAACGAAAATGTCCAGAATCACAAAATATGGAATCCTGCCTCCCCACATGATAGATACGATCCGCTTGAAAAATCGTATTCGGAAAAGGGCCTATCAGACTGGCGACCCGGCTTTGAGGAGGCCAGCAAATCGGCTTTCTAATAACATCCGCTCGCTGCTCAAAGAGCATTACAACGATAATTTTACTAGGCACACAGCCGAAATCTCAACCGATGATAATTCTGCATACAAAACGGCAAGACGCCTAATTAGAGGTGCTTATCGCCCCCTTCTAAATCTAGAAGTAGACAATAGGGTTGTGTGCCTTCCCAGCGAGAAAGCCGAATTGTTTGCCTCCAATCTGTCAATCCAATTTAGTGAAAACCCAGCGCAGAGTCCTGCCAAGGAAAACTCAGTGAACGCAACATATAACATTTATGAAGGCATGCCTTACATCTCTGACCATCACCTTGTCACCGTCGCGGAGGTGCAAAGAATCCTCTCGGATTTGAACGTCAAAAAAGCGCCTGGTCTGGATGCTGTTCCCAAAAAGCCTTGAAAAACGTCCCAGAAAACATTAAAACCATCGTCTGCAACATTGCTAATGCCACATTTTCGCTCGGCCACTTTCCCCTTGCTTGGAGGGAGGCTAAGGTAATTCTGATCAGGAAGAGAGGTGAAAACCCAAAACTCATCTCTTCCTACAGACCCATTAGTCTCCTCTCAAACATTGGAAAGGTGGTCGAAAAGGTCATTCTGGGACGTTTTAAGGAACACGTTGAAATTCATCATCTCCTTCCCCCCGAACAACTGGGGCTTGTTTCCGGGTTGGGAACGGTAAACCAGACCACTCGCATGGCGTCTCAAATCCTGAGGGGATTTAACAGGAGGCACCACACAGGAGCCATATATTTGGACATCTCCAAAGCGTTCGACAAGGTATGGCACAGGGCCCTCATCATCAAACTGACTAGGCTTGCCTTCCCCAGATACCTCACTAGAACAATCAATAGCTACCTCCAAAATAGGAGGTTTTTGGTAGAGGCCGACCGGCATCGCTCAGCTTTTCATGTCATAAGGACGGGAGTCCCTCAGGGCTCCCCGATTTCACCGATACTATTCAATATTTTTACCAGCGACATCCCGAGGAGTAGACATACTCAGCTTTACCTCTTCGTGGACGATACCGCCATCCTCTCCACGCGTAAATGCGAACGCATCATTCACATCAGATTAAACAGACATATGTCTGAAATAGAGAGATGGATGGCGGACTGGGAAATCAAGCTCAATCCCGCGAAGACTAAAGCTATTATGTTTACTCGTCGGAACACCACGCAGAATCAAAGGCTTAGAGTTGCCGGAACGCCAATAGATTGGTCCAGTAAAGTGAGGTACCTGGGTCTTATCTTTGACAGAGGTCTGCGCTGGGCAGACAACACGGTAGCAATTGTGGCAAGGGCGAAGGCTCAAATTGCTTGCTTGTATCCTGTTCTGAACAAAAACAGCCTACTCAGTATACACAATAAAATAACTCTTTAAAAATCAATGATAAGATCTATCATTACCTAATTCAAAGAATTCAGAACAGGGTACTGAAGATCATCGTGGACGCACCAAGGTACACCCGTACCCAAGTGCTCCACGATGATCTTCAGATCAACACAATCGAGCAGTTTGTCGCCAACCTCTTGACCAATTACTACCAAAAGGTGGACGTCAGTCAAAACCCCCTTGTTCGTGAGTCTCACATTCGTGCCAACCCCCTAGACATATACCGTCTCCCCAGAGACTTCCTACCCCCACATTAGAACCCACCCTAATCCCTAAAATGTCGGCTTTGTTTCACTAATCTAGGGGCCCTCAGCCAACTTTCATTTTTTCTGTATAATAAATTTTTTCTCCAAACGTCAAAAAAACGTCACTTTGTTAGCGCCTGTCAAGGTGTTAGAAACTTAATTTCTATGCTGCTAGGCAAATCCAGCAGGTTAGCACCTGTCGAGGTGGTAGAGATTTAATTTCTATGCTGCTAGGCAACCGCACCGGCAGTAGAAGTACTTTTAGTGCCGCTGGAGCGGCAGCAAAAGTACTTTTAGTGCCGCTCGTACTTTTACTGTCGCTTAACCATCCAGTTACCCCCGAGCTTACTCCATTCGCTTGGAGAAAAAACAGCGTGTTGCATACGGAGAAGAAGCACTTTTTTGTGCTTGAGCAGTATTGCAAGCCTCATTACGTTCGGCTCGCAAACCTACTGCTTCAGCACAAAAAAGTAAAGCTTCTACTCCTAATACAACAATATACTATTATCATTCAGCTCAAATTCAATAATAGTATATTGTTGTATTAGGAGTAGAAGCTTTACTTTTTTGTGCTGAAGCGGTAGGTTTGCGAGCCGAACGTAGTGAGGCTTGCAATACTGCTGAAGCACAAAAAAGTGTTTCTACTCCGTATGCAACACGCTATTCCGTATGCAACACGCTATTTTTTCTCCAAACGAATGGGGTAAGCTCGGGGGCAAGTGAATGGTTGAGCGGCAGTAAAAGTACGAGCAGCACTAAAAGCACTTCTACTGCCGCTCCAGCGGCACTAAAAGTACTTTTGCTGCCGCTGGGGTTGCCAAGCAGCATAGAAATTGAATTTCTACCACCTCGACAGGTGTTAGCCCGCTGGATTTGCCTAGCAGCATAGAAATCAAATTTCTGACATCTTGACCGGGGTTAACAAAGTGATGTTTTTCTGACGTTTGGAGAAAAAAAATTAATAGTTCGCCCTTGAACTGAACCAGCCACACGAAGAGATCCAATAAACTGAATTTTAAAGAAAAATTAAATAAATCACATAAAATAATGGGGTGTAAAAATTCAGAAACACACCTAAAAAAAATAATCAGCAAACGGTAATTGCTGATTTTGAAGAGGAAATAAATACAGCATATAACTCAACCAAATCTTGACAGGTAAAACCAATAAAACAATTAAGTAAGTTTCAAAATAAATTAGTATATATTTTCTCAGTGAGGTCAAAAATCAAATATTGAATAATTTCAAAGTATAAAATCAATTGCTGGTAAAACACTTTAAATAAAGTCAATAGAGGTTAACTACTCTCAATCAGTTTCATCAAATTCAAAAATAGTATATTGTTGTATTAGGGGTAGGAGCTTTACTTTTTTGTGCTGAAGCAGTAGGTTTGCGAGCCGAACGTAGTGAGGCTTACAATACTGCTGAGGCACAAAAAAGTGCTTCTACTCCGTATGCTCCAGCGGCACTAAAAGTACTTCTACTGCCGCTGTGGTTGCCTAGCAGCATAGAAATTAAATTTCTACCACCTCGACAGGTATTAACCCGCTGGATTTGCCTACCAGCATAGAAATTAAATTTCTAGCATGTTGACATGTGCTGACAAAGTGACGTTTTTTTGACGTTTGGAGAAAAAAGATAATATTACAATGTAGCTACCTCCATATACTTGCCATATAAGTTCATTAACAGTCGCTGGCCATATCAGTATCATACAATGAAAAATTTAGGTTTCCAGAATATTAATAAAAAAATGAATGATTGGAAATTATAATATTATCACATGGATAGATATGGTCAGCTACTGCTTAAAAAATTAATTCAATAAAACCAACTTACAGTGTATGAAATCGAAAGTTGGATTAAATGGTCAGGAGATATAATAGAAAACCTCAAATATATAAGTTATAGGACCCAGGGTTAAAAATTGATCAACTTTCGACGATGTAGGTACTTACTTGACAATTATAAATTTAGAGCATGTTGTCCAACCTTCACCTGTGTTCAGATCACAGGTGACTTGATTCCTCTAGGAATCCCTTCAAAAGCTCTATTCCGCACTCCACGAAAATGGTGTTCTTTAAAAATGTGGGCTTGTTGGGAATGGATTCGTTGAGAGAAACGGCTTCTCGGAAAAAACAGCTCTTCAGAAAAAACGGCTCCTCGGTAAACCCTTAGTAATAGAGGCATGCTATGAACCACCATTACTTTTAAAAAAATTAAAAAGGACTTACCATGAGGGGGTTCGAAATTCAAACACAAATAAAACGGTAATCACATGAGAGAAAAAATCTTTTGGTAATTAATGGATTATTGCTTTACGCAACTTTATTTTGTTAAAATAGTGCCTGATGGCCGATAAGGTATTTGTCTTCACGAGAACGGTACCTTATCACAGTTGAGACAGATGGCTGCCCCCACACGATAGATACAGATACTAATTTATGTAATTTTTAGGCTACTGACACCACTGGACATACATTGGCTTTTTGTTTCACTTTATTGGGAATGTTTCCGGATATACAGGTACAAGGCAGAAACATGTTTGTATTTATTAGTAATGGTTGTTGAATATTTTAGCGAAAAGTATACGAAGAAGTTATGGAAGTAGTTGGAGATCACACAATACAAGAGGCGAATATTCAAAATCTTAGATATACAGAGGCTGTTGTCAGTGAAGTATTGAGAATCCTCCCTACGATACCTTTGTATGGGAGATATTGCGAGGAAGACATTGATATTGGTAAAAATTGTTTTTATAACACATAGAAATACAAGAACGGTAAATGTAGGCAAGCAAGCATTCTTCTGAATGCAAATTTCGTTCATTTCAAAGTGGAAACTTCTTGCTCATAAAAAATTGATTAAAAAGGGGGCAATAATGCAGCGACCTAAGAAATCTCGAAGTAAATAACCAATTTTTTAGATCAATTTTGTAGCTAAGTTTGTAAGTATTACCTGTACCAATGTTCGGCAAAACAAAGCCAGTGCTATTTAGATTAAAATACGTTTTTGTTCCTTTCAACTAAGGTAAATACAATAAACCTCTTTCTGTATCTTTCTCTTCCAGCTTTCTTGTCCAGGTCTATAGAGTTTACCCCAACGAACAATTTCAATTAAGTTTCTCTGAAGACATAGGTGGAGCTGAGGTAATTGAAGCAAGAAAATATGCGCTGGAGTATGTCTGCGTAGCAATGTATCAATAAATTTTATATTCTTGAAATTCCTTCTCCCCACGGAAAAAATGACCATTATTAGGATATCAGATCGAGATGATAAGCAGCTATACTAATTTTGATTGAATCGGCTTTTACTTGGTGGAAATCCATTATCTAATAAAAGATTTTTTAAGTAAATTTTAATACTTATATATTTCCACAATTTTTTGTTAAACTTTTAACATGTTTCGCTAAACTTTAGCTTCATCAGAAAGATTTTAGAAAAATAAAATGTAGACATAAAAGTGAAATTGACAAATATAAAAAAGGTAAAAGCTGGTCTAATTTTATGTTAATTTAAATAAGTATTACACAGTAAATAAATTTAAAAGTGGTGAATTGTTTAAATCTAATTGGTCGTTCAATAAACAGTCTAAAGTTTTAAGTTTGTTTATTTCTAAAGATTCTAGAAGATTTAATTTTATCCCTTTGTTTTCATTATGTAGTATTTGAAATTCATTATTAAAATTATGATTTGATTCTATCAGGTGATTAGCATAATTTGAATCTGTTTTCTTTTTATTGAAACTATTGTAATGTTCTTTAATTCTAGTACCAAAATTTCTACCTGTTTGTCCTATATATACTTTTGGACAATCTTTACAAGATAATTTATAAACGCCAGATTTATCACAAATTTTAGTTTTAGATTTATTATTTTTCAAGTGAAAGCCTATTGTATTGTTAGTTTTGAAAGCAACATTTATATTGTTTTTGTTAAGAAATTTGCTAATTTTCTTACTAGCTTGTCCTTGGAAAGTAATACTTTTGAAATTATTATTATTTTGTAATTTTTTAGGGTATACTAAATTAATGGCATTTTTGTATAGTTTTTTGTTTAAAATATCGTCTATTAATTTAGAAGAATAGCCATTATTGATAGCAATTTGTTTAATTAGGTTTAATTCTTTTTGGAAATTAATACTATTTATAGGAAGTGTTATTAATCGGTGTATCATACTGTTAAAAGCAGCTAATTTGTGTTGTATAGGATGACAAGATGTATTGTGTATAACTGTATCAGTATGAGTAGGTTTATGAAATATGGAAAATTCATGTTTTTCATTTATGTTTTTGATTGTTAGATCTAGGAAATTTATTGAATTATTTAGCTCTTTTTCTTTGGTAAATTTTATGTTAGGGTGGATTTTATTAATAAAGTCTATAAAAATATCTAATTGTCTGTCTGTTCCAGTAAAACAAGTTAGAATATCGTCAACATATCTATGCCAGTAGAGGAATTTTTTAAAAATTGGATGTTTGTTAATTTTTGATTCAATAAAATCCATGAATATTTCAGATAAAATAGGACTTAGTGGATTTCCCATTATAAGTCCAATTTTGCTAGTATATATTTTATTATCAAATTCAAAATAATTTTGTCTGAGGCATTCTTTCAAAACGATAATAATTTCTTCTTTTTTAACAATGTTTATATTATTTTTAATCAAGAGTTTTTCAACAAGAATAATAACGTCAAAACTTTCAAAACTAACAATACAATAGGCTTTCACTTGAAAAATAATAAATCTAAAACTAAAATTTGTGATAAATCTGGCGTTTATAAATTATCTTGTAAAGATTGTCCAAAAGTATATATAGGACAAACAGGTAGAAATTTTGGTACTAGAATTAAAGAACATTACAATAGTTTCAATAAAAAGAAAACAGATTCAAATTATGCTAATCACCTGATAGAATCAAATCATAATTTTAATAATGAATTTCAAATACTACATAATGAAAACAAAGGGATAAAATTAAATCTTCTAGAATCTTTAGAAATAAACAAACTTAAAACTTTAGACTGTTTATTGAACGACCAATTAGATTTAAACAATTCACCACTTTTAAATTTATTTACTGTGTAATACTTATTTAAATTAACATAAAATTAGACCAGCTTTTACCTTTTTTATATTTGTCAATTTCACTTTTATGTCTACATTTTATTTTTCTAAAATCTTTCTGATGAAGCTAAAGTTTAGCGAAACATGTTAAAAGTTTAACAAAAAATTGTGGAAATATATAAGTATTAAAATTTACTTAAAAAATCTTTTATTAGCTATACTAATGCTATGAAATCCGCACTTCTACGAACAATCAGATAATCAGGCAGGATGGATACATAATTGCTTGGGTCGACCTTAATATTTGAGAAAGGAATCGTCAGCCATCGCAAAGTTGAAATGGAACTGGCCTGATGATCGGGTTCAGATGAAAGACAACGGCTGAACCAAAACAGTGCTCGAAGGGAAACCATTAGAACGTCAGATAGTTAGAGATTTGGGTTTCTAAATTTTGCATACAAGCTTCGATGAGGGTTGAAAAATAAGTATATCGAAATTAAGCAGAATAAATTGAAACTTACGAGGGGCTTCTGCGGAGGTAACATATGGCAAATTCGATTTTCCTTATAAACCTAAAATATACTTATCCATTCGAGTGATTCAAGCTAATATGTTTTTGGGCACGCGACTATACACTTAATGCACGCTTAAGCCTCCTGCAACATTCAAGCCTCTGGTTTCCCGAAGCCAGGTTCTATTAATTAATCCCTTTATTTGTGTTGAAGAAATTTGAATTTTCCATATTTTATCCTCATGAGCCACTTCCCTTTATTCTTCTCAGCAGCGATGCACTTTTGAACCCTTCTTGAGGCTTTTATGGGAAATTATGCACCTGAATCTGTCACTATCTGACGGTCTACATGTACAAACTAATCTGTGATACAAACCTAGCAGTGGAATCGGGGGTATCATAGGTTGCACTGACACACAGGAGACCTATAGGGGAACCCGGGGCAGAACGGCATACCGGGGCACAACGGAATAGGCCTCCTAACACCAGCCGCAACCAAAATAGTAAATCGAAATCGCGTTATAACCATACCCTAGACTATACTCTATTATGCTTTGATAAATGTCAGTGCAAAAACAACTTTAGTCTAACGGAATTCATGCATGTCCATATTTCTGAATAAATTTTATAATTTTTTGCGAAATTTAATGACAAAGTAAGTATTGTACACAAATAATAAGTCATTGTTATTATATTTTTCACGTAGTACATGATGTCAAGCATTAGTGGTGGTAGTGTTGATATTTTTCCTCAATGATATTGTTCTATTTTTTTGAAAAAAATTTTAAACCAAATTCGGGGCAGAACGGGTCGGGGCGGAATGGTTTAGGATACCATTCTGCCCCGCATAAAATTAGCAAACAGTCATATGAATTTTTTCAATTATAAGAAGAGATTCACGCATGTCGTCATTAATAGAATGCAGTCCAGATGATTCAATAGCAGAATATAAATTGGCAATAAATGAAAAACCCAAAAATAAAAAAGTTATTCGCTCGAAGATTATGCAAAAGAATAATAAAAAAAAAACAAAACACAAGGATTCCTGTAAACGTCAAAACAAGTTCTTCCAGCGAAAGTGAAAGTGATGATTCCCAATGCCTCTACTATATCTATAGAATCTTATTAGATATTATGCTCAATCTACAAAAAATGGACTCATAATACTTGCGCGGGTATCGATAGCGACGACGATGAGACTGTACTTGTCTGCGACTGCGAAATCTGGCAATAAGTTTAAAATTTCTATTAAATTGTGTATTTAATATTTAAGTTTTTCATTTGTTCCCAAAAATACGGTTACTTCATTATTTTACCATAATGACCATTCCGCCCAAGGATAGGGCCATTCTGCCCCATTGTCGGGGCAGAATGGTCATTTTGACATTTTTTTTTTTTTTGAGCTTCAAAAACATTATTTTTTTCTGATAATATTCGTTTCAAACTTTTCTTGGATGTTATTTAAACAATAAAGAAGGACATGTCCTAAGTTGGTTTTGAAATTTCAAAATCCCTTGAAGAGGAGGCCTCTTAAAGATTAGGTATGCTGGTATAAAACTATCCACTAAATTAAACACTTGTAGCTTTTAGAATAAATATATAATGGAAAAATAAACTAGGGACGATACATAAAATTACTGTAAACAAATTATTTCGAGCGTCATGCTTTCGCCTCAAGAATTTGAGTTTCGACTATACCTGACACCGCCCGAGTTATTCAGTAACTTTCCCGTTTTTTGGTTGGTGGTGTGATCCGACACGTTATGATTCGTCAGCTGCCTGGAATATGGAAGAATAAACTGGATTGTAACAATTGACAATAACGAAATATCGTCAAAGTCATTTACTGATCATTCAGCCAACCTCATTTTTTTTTTCTTTCAGGTACGAAAGTGGTTCCAAAAGGAGCAAACGTTTTCATAAGTGCCTTCCATATACAAAGAAATCCAGATTATTGGGAAGATCCTTTGAAGTTTGACCCAACTAGATTCTTGCCTGAAAATATGTCAAAAATTATTCCTGGATCTTATCTTCCATTTTCTGCCGGACCTAGAAACTGTATTGGTAAGATACATACTAATAAAATATTTGTATACAAATCCAAATTATTTTTGTTTTCAATTTTAGGACAAGGAATGGCCACGATATTGATGAAAATAACTGTAGCCAACATTGTGAAGAATTTTGAAATTACCTCCAAACATAAATCGATAAAAGAGTTTAAGCTTGAATCTTGCATTTCCATGAAAACTTTAAACCATCTTGATTGTCATTTTACACCAAGAGATAAGGCTTAATATTTATAATTTGAAGACATATTATGTGATTAATATTTTAAAATAAGAATGTGAAGTAGGCGAGGGTGTATTTGGTATTTCTAGTCATGTAGTGTATTTATGTGAAAATATAAAATTTACCATAAATTTGTTGATTTTCAGTAAGACATTTTAAATTTTATTGATAAAAGCTCCTCGTCCCACTGATTTTCACTGTCGCACATTATTTTCACCCAATAGTGATAAGCTCAACAAGAAAAAATAATTTTAGTTTATTTATATTTTACGATCATGTCTTTGTTAGGTACGTTTCTAATTTTCAGTCAATCAAGTTAGGAGATTGTTCGACATATTTTTGATGCCTTTGGTCTTTTACTGCTCTGTTCTTGCCTGATTTTGCCTAGCACGGAAAAAAGGGAACTAATAGTTTTAAATCTTTAATATATATCTCATATAACAGTCACAATAATTATTCTCCATGAAGATATCCACAGCTGGCGATCTCTGAATATAAGATTGATTTGAGATAAGATAAGATCGTATAGAGCAAAATATTTACCATTTTCTGGAGTTTTTACTATAGTGTCCTAGTGTTCTCGGTTCTGTGTTTTGTTCTGTAGGAATCAGGTAAATCAGCATTTGTTTTCCCTATTTTTGCAGAGGTTTCGATTGTGCAACTTTGAAAACATCAGGTTTCCCGCCTAAAATAATAAGAAAGTTGAGATAGGGTTAGAATAGGAAAATGTAAACAAATGTTGGTAGGGTTAGGAAATTGTTTAAATCAGACAATGAACTAAAGTCATCTGTGGCACTTAAACTTGAATATTGTGTATTGAATGCGCAATATGCAGTAATGGGGTCTTTCACTAAAATTTGAATACGTAATTTGAGTATAAAATCCCAAAGGAGGGGCTATTTTAGGCATATATACCAAAAAAAAAAGTTCTACAAGGTTAAATAAGTTTTTTACAGGCATTTCAAATTAGCTAAATTCAAATTAAATTAAAACGCGCCGATTTGCTGACGTCACATAAATATTTTTCATTTCGCTTGTTGTTACAAAGGAGCTTACCGCCTCGGCTGTGTACCCTGTAGTAAAAGCAGGTAAAGGTTCGAATGCGCTGTTGTCGGTGGTGACTTGATGTAGTGCAACGTAAAAAAATAAAATAAAACTAAACATAAAAAATTGTGTTTAAACATAATTTCAATAAAAAAGTTATAAAATCTTGAATCCATAAGTGATTAATTTAACTACTTTTCATGATATTTTGCGAACATTTCAGAATTAAATCTATTACAAATTTTCAATGTCGACAATTAGTGGCAACACGGTCAAATTGCTTGCTGCGACGTCATAGAAATAAATTCTGGATTTTTATTTGGAGGTAATTCTTTTTTTTCTGTTTTCTCAAGAAGGACTATGAATTTTTCAAAAGTAAAAATACAGAAAATTCTGTCTTTAGTTGCTTTATCCAAATATGCCAATTTCAAAAATTAGTGAAAGAGCCCATTCGAACTGTCCAAAAATAAACGAAAAATTCCCTAGAATCCGGTTCGTGTAACCAGATAATGCATACAGCCACTACAATTAAATTAATATAATATTTATGTAAGCTATGATGTATGTAATTATGTGTTACAAATAAAAATAAAAATAATAATAGAAATTCAATAATTCATGTATTCTCATCCATACTCATCTATATGTCTCAAATAAAAGAGAAGATTCTAGAAAAAAAAAATCAAAACATAAAAGACTCACTTCACGCCATAATGATACTGCGAATATTTGAATTTATAATACAATAATTTTCATTCAGTGCCGTAGATAATAACATTAATAAAAAATTGTGAAGAAAATACTTTGTAAGGTGGTCATTGGAAATATTAATTAGGTCATTGCTCTAAAAAACAAAAACAAAAAAAAAAAAAACATATTTTTCAACACATCGATCACTGGAAAATGATTATTAATATTACCTTTACCCTCCTTGAAGTTATACTGTACTGTCCTCCAGCTGCAGGACGACGATCTTGGGCATCTTAACTACATTCAACAATCTCGTTGAAAGATAATGCACTACATTTCCTTAATACCTTCCATATCCCACATACCATAAAATGCGGGATACATGCACACAAATACCCAGAGAGCCTGCTTTACATGTGCAATCAATAGCATAGTGTAATAGGATCTGGTAGGGGACCCTCAATTTTTACTTCTATGTCAACGACATTCTAAGTAATGTATATAGTAGGTATCTCTTAATGGTTGTTTGTTCAAGAACCGACTGGTTGGCAGTTTGAATTAGCATTCGATCCTGCATGTAAGCTAAAGTTAACGATACCTGAAATATTCCACGATTCCTTTAATATTCATGGAGCTGGACGTTGCAAGAGCAGAGAGAATGCTTCAACTTGCTAGAGAGTCGAATTTTCTTCAAAAAAGAGTAGAGGAAGAAAATATTAATCGCAGATTTAAACAAGGTCCTCGAATGAACGCTGTTCTCCGGTTACGAGAATACGGGCCCTGGAGGCATCAGTCAACAGTCTGAGTAAGTACCTACTGCAAAATGTAGAATGAATAAAGATTCTCGACAAAATCGGTAATTGTGAAACCTTTCTTTTTTTTTTTTTTTTTTTGTAAGTAGTGTATCTTATTATCCAGTCTCATGCGCCCTATTCCTCTCGTTACAGAGCTTGAAAGAAAAAATAAATTATACAGTGTGTCCCGCTTAGACTGACCACCCTTCTAACATTTTTATTTTTTGACCGATTCAATTTTTATATATTTTTTTGTCTTGTATCTACTCCAATTTGGCAATTATTAGGCTTATGATTTTATTTCTGCGGCTGTAGTGGTGTACAGGGTGTCCACATTTATAGGCTCAAATTTCAATAATAACTATTAGGGATTTTTTTAGAGAAAATCTGATTGCAGATTCTTGTTTAGAATGGCCTAAAACCCAAATGTACTGATACAGGGTGATCACAACAAATTTTCAAAATTCAATGAACCAAACCGCAAAAATGTCATATTTTGAGACAAACTTGCTACAAGTTTGTTGAAGATGTTCTAAAACCTCGTTGTATCAAGTTTTGTTGTTCTCATGACCTCAAAATATGACATTTTTGCGGCTTGGTCCATTAAATTTTGAAATTTTTTTGTGATCACTCTGTATCTCATTGAAACAAAAATTAGTACATTTGGATTTTAGACCATTTTAAACAAGAATTTGCTATCAGACGGTTAAGAAATGAAAATTTTAGAAAAGTGGTCAGTCCAGGGACACACTGTATATAAATCCGAAATGTCGTCGAAAACTAGGTAGTTTCTTTTGTTTACCCCACTTGTCAGAATTCTCCAATCGACCTCTCCATCAGGTCGAAGCAACCCTACCCGAAAAACAGTGTGACCTAAAGCACAGCAGACATGATTTCGAGTGCAAAACAATCGCAAGAAAAATCAAAAGAGCCAAACAAACCTTTTACCTTGGTAGGCATCTCTCAAGAAATGCCAATATTTGACGCGCAAATTCAACACCGACCAAAGTGGATGTCCCTTGAAAAGGGTGTTTGACAACCACAACTTAGCTCGCGGTCTACAATACCATCTTTATACCAACACTTTCCCCGAGATGTAAAACATGGACCACCTACGGGCGACACCTGACGTGCTTGAAAAAGTATTACCAGCAATGCTCAAGAAAAATATTTAAAATGAACGAAAAAGATTATCGGACCAAAAGCAGTATCTTTGAGGAAACCAATTCCACCAGCATTGAGACAATGCTCGTCCAACATCATCTTTATTGGGCTGGTCATGTCGACCGCCTACCAGATTCACGTCTCAATAAAGCTACGGTTTTCTAGGATAGCGGTACCGTAATAGAACGACCGTTATAAAACAGTGTCCTGCATTTTGCATGCGTGCGATTTATTAGGAAACGGTAGGCGATACCAATACCGCCACCGTAATAAAAAAAGGGCACCGTCATCTTCGTGACGCTCGTCATAGCGGTGGGACGCAGTGCGCGCAACGTTTTTTTCCTTTGTTAGTGAATTTGTTGTTTTTCTTTTGCAATAACAAAATAACGTGGTACTTTAACTGTACCTACATACATCTGTGCTCAACGCTATAACAGCCAGGTATTCGTTGACCTTTTTTTTTTAATGGTAATTGACTGATGAAATTATTTTGGGCATATTGATTGAATTTGTTTCCATATCGAGACTGATAAAGTATCCCTTATTCTATGGGTAGGTTGAATATAATGTGATAATGTCAACCTAGTTAGGGTTTGCTGCCAAGGCTGCGCTTTGATGAATTGTTTTAATTAATTATTCGCCAATTCTGCAAAGTAGATACACTGGCTCTGATCCAACATTTTGAACACATTTCCGTCGCTTTCGTAGACATATAATTTGTTTCAAATTCTGCTTTGCGTTTTTCAGAAAGTAGGAATTCTTCAGCTCTTTTCACAGCATCTTCTAACTCACAAGGCATACAGAACTGTTCATCGCTACTGGTTTTTTCAATTTTCAAAATCGAAGATCACAAAATGCTTCGAGTTGAGATTAATCGTAATCGAAAGATCTATTGTTGAAGAAAATTGTCTTTTGTCTTTTGTTAGATTGTCTATCCCACAGACCCCCTTATAAACTATAAGCTACCATTATATAACTAACCAGAGATCGTTCAAAAGAGCAATAGATTCGATCAATGGTAAATGAAAAAGTAAATAAATGGTAATGTGACCTAAACGTCCACGTAAATTCACTTGACCATATAACTACTATTTCATCCTTGATTAAATTTTGGGCTTTTCAGAAGCAGTCCTAATATTCAAATCATTCGGTACCTATTTAAAATTGCAACGAATTATTAAAAAACAATAATATTAATATAAAAATAATAAGAAATAAGTAGAGTAGCTGTAATTATAGAAGTTGGATATATCAACCTCAGTGGATTTTTTTCACTATCTCGCAACTTTCTTGACAATAATGAAACTTTCCAGTCTTTGAGTGGCATTTAGTTTACCTGTGTTTTTTTTTTTCTTTTTTAGAATATGTAGGAAACCCAAACGAGCGTCCACTGGTTGATCTTCTATTAAGCGATGCTTACGAAAAAGAATATGAGGATGAATT